AGGGCAGTTGATGATGAAATAAGGTGAACACAGTCAGAAGAAGGTGAGAGGTCTGCAGAGGGGGCTCAATACAATGGTATTTAATTACAGGATATTAACACAATGATCCCTGAGGCACATGGATTATTGTGGGTCTTGGCATGCAAATGAGGGTGATCTTGATGCTGTTAACCTGGCACCCTTATCAACTCTTACTGATCAGCAAAAACAATAGCCCTAGCAGCTTCTTGAGGAAGCTATCAGGTCCCACTTCTTAAAGTAACAGCAAATGCTAAACAGTAGCTTGCCTTGGAATTCAGGTGCTTTCTGAGAAATGGGTGCAGGCATTTTTATAATACAAAGACACATATAACCAATCCTTTTCTGCCAGGATTTATCTGATTTTTTTCAACAGGGTACATTCCCAAAGATTGGTAAGGAAGGAAACAGGTGCCAGCGAGATATAAAGTATCCTAGTGACAGCTTAGCTTCCATCCCTCAGTCAGTCATTTAACTGAGATGCAGGGCAGGAGGAACACAAAGGCAACATTTGCTACCAAGCTGGTCCTGCCCTTCACAGGATGTCTATCATCCTCTGAGTTTGGTGGGTATTGTACCCTAAGAGACATAAAGCCAACTCAAAATCCTCACACAGGACACAGTTAAACAATGGCTTTCACTTTCACAAGATGTGGTGATGGCTATTGATCTGGATGGCTTTAAAAGTGGATTAAACATCCAAAGAGAAGGCTATCCATGGCTACTAGCCCTGCTGCTATATGTTCCCTATGATATCAGTGTGCCTTATGTATACCACTTGCTGGGGAACTTGGACAGGAGAGTGCTGTTGCACTCACATCCTACCTGTGGGATCCTGTGGACACCTGGTTAACTACTGTGTGAACGGAATGCTGGAGTAAATTGACCCTTGCTCTGATCCAGAAGGTCTCTTATGTTCTTAAGAAAACTGGTGTCTTCAGTGTTTCTATGGTGTCACTCTTCTGCCTGTTTAGGGATCCAGATGACTAATGTCTTCCATGTGCAATCCCATGTCTGCCCACTGCTACATCTGTGGTTTTTTTCCCCTTGCGGTAGAAAACTTGTCAAGAAGGGCAATAGCTGTCAGGAAGCAGACTGAAGAATCTGTGGAAAAACAGATTTTGTCTCGTAAAACAATTTGAAGTAAGCCAAAACACTCATTAATTTAACTGTGCATTCTTTTTTCGTTAGTCACCTTGGTTTTGTAACACGCAACAACAAATTAATTAAAACGCGCGTGCCAGGCAGCAATCTTTTTTCATGTTTATAGTAGACAGAACCTTTCCTCCCCTCGCCAAACCCGCCCAGACCTGCAACCCGTCTCTCCTTCATTTCCCCGCTGGGGTTCTGATCGGACCCGGGCCCTTGTACCTCAGAGGAGAAAAAGGCGTTTCTAGGGAAATGTCTAAGACACTGAGGCGGATTAGTTGCATAACAAAAGCCACCTCTAAAAAAGCACCGTCTGGAAAAGCTCCGCTAAGGCTCCCAGTCTAAGTACAATGTCTAGATCCGAGCGCTTTTTTGGTCTACGTGTTGGTGAAAACCGACCAAGCCCCACCACTCCAATAATACGAGCAGAAGCATTCGGTCTTTCCCTCTCCCGCGCCCGGGGCCGAGGGCGCGCCGGGCTTCTACCACCACGAGAGGGCCTACGAAGCGGCTTCTTGCCAAGCAAGTATTCGTAGGGACGTTCTAGCCTTTTTCTCCGACCGTCTCTATAGACTGGACGCTCAGCCGAGCATTTACGTAGCCAACCAGCGAGCAGGGAATCTTGTGGGCGGTGACTACCCGTCTTGCCGCGCCCTTCTTTGGCCCGTTGCGGAGGAAGCTGCGTCACTGAGTGCTAGCGGCAGCCGCAGCACCGAAGAGGGCAAGCAGAACCCTACCGCCGCCTCCGCCGCCGCCCCTCCCCCCCGAATCGTGCGCGTAAACCCGAGGGCCGTCGCCGTCATGGATTACGGGGAAGGTGAGCGCTTTCTCCGTGACTCGAGGGCCACGGGACATGAACGAACGAAAGGGTGCCGAGGATTGACTCGGGCTCAAAATGGCGGCGGCGGTGCTTCATAGGCGGGAAACGGCGAGTGGCGGCGGCCTAGGCTTGAAGGAGAGCCTGCGGCGTGGCGCGCCATATTGCTTCTGGCGCTGGTTTCCTGGTAGCGGGCGTTGCACTGTGGTTGGAGGGGTGCAGCGCGCTTCTATGACAGGCGGCTGGCGGCAAGGCCGCGCGAAGCCTTCGCCTGGTCTCTTTGTCCCGACCCTGCTGTGCGTGTGCAGAAGCGGCCACGCGAAGCTCAGTGGGGTTTCCTCCCAAGTCAGCATAAATAGGAATGCAGTCTTCCTGCGCATACCAACGAAGCCGACAAGGAGGTTTCCTGCCTGCTAGAGAAAGAGTGCGGTTCGAGGTTTGCGTTTTCAGTGACAGTTCTATGCAGAGCAAGCCCATTGAAATGAATGGGTTTGATTTAAGACCCACTTCATTTCAATGGGTCGGGAGTCTAAGGAGATGGGATATTCAACCGTCTAGGATTTAACAAGTGCTTCATGATGGAGGGGGGCGTGGTGACGGCGAGGGTGTTCGTAATGGCTGAAGATTTCGGCCAGTAAAGGCACTCTTAAAATTTGGATTTATAGCTCTATTCATACAATCATTCTGGAGCCGTACCCGCAATCCGATTTCTTCCCTTCTTTTGAAAAATGCATAACGTTCTTTAAAAAAGGTATGCATGAAATCGAGCGCTAGAGCAAGGAAGACAAATTTTCCAATTTAAAGTGCTCCAAAATAGAGGAAAGGTCTTGGTTTTCCCGCGCTTCTCTCCTCCGCATCCCCCCCACCGCCCAACACAGATGGAACCTAGGACAGCAGGTTCAGCCTCATTATTTGGGTAATACACATTTAATACCCACGACGTTCCTTACTTTGTCAAATATCCAGTGTACTAGTTTGGGATAAACCACTGATGCTTTTGTTGCACAGATAAAGGAGGCTGAGGCTGAAGCAGTGTGTTGTTCAAGAGTATTCTTACTCTAATTCTCACATTTGGTTCAAAAAGAAGCTTCTGTGCTGAGAACAACACATTTCCTAAACAGCGCAGTGCAGTGAATAAATACATACTGAAAATCTGATTGTATAGTTCTGCCTGGATATAGGAAATGAGAGATATTTTGAGTTACATTTAATTTTGGTACTAATAATTTTTGCCTTGAAATAATGAGCACTTGATGGCCTTGTGACCACTTGTTCATACTGTGGTTAGAAAACCTCCTAAGTTCTTTAGCCTCAAGCTGCTTTATTTCTTCCCTGGGTAATAAATATAAGTTATACTATGTTCAGTAGGTGGCAGCTGGAAGCAGAACAGTAAATCTGTAGCTTCCTTTCTTGTATATTTCTGGTAAGTTTGGGATGTCAATCAGTTTTGATTGGTTATATTCTGAATAATCAGTTTACCCTAGCTATATAATTCCATGAATCCAAAAATGCTATTTTGTTGTTGACCAAAGTGAAATCTATGCTCTTGTTCCATTATTGATCTTATACATTTTAACTTAAAAGCTGACAACTGCTGCTGTAGTGACCTGGAAAATTACACCTTGCATTTGCTCTACCTTTCAAACAATTGTTATTGGTGGGAGGTATAGCATCACTGCAAGATGGAATTTTTAAAACTAGCAGTATGCATTTCCTCTGTAATCCAATTAGTGCAACATGCCAGTCCATCATGGGCAGGTAGCCATGATAGAATGATGTGCTGTACAAATTGAGAATCCTTTGGCTGTAATTCTTTTTCTGAAAAACCAATGGCTTGTTCAAGGGGTTTTCATGCTCAAAATAGGTTGTAGTGTCATCTGAAATGGAGAGCAGATTTATCATTATTTAGCAGGGTAGGTTACAGAGCTGCTTGCCAAAACGAATAAAACATCTGGCTGTTCCTTGTGATTTTGTCTGTACTGTCTCCAGCCCCTTGCCACTAATTTTTTTGCATTCATTGATGTTCAAACGACTCTTTAGGGGGACTTTTACCACTTCAACCCCCTCCCTGTTTCATTCCCAGACAATTGTGTTAAAACTTTCATTATTTTTTATTAGTTGTTGCCCTCTTGCAAGTATGCATTAATGGTTGTCCAGTATGTGTAGTTTTGCACTGCCAATGCCTTTTTGTAAAAACAGTAAGCCATTGTTAGAAGAAAAAATAGCACCCACTGCTGCAACCACATACAATATATTGAATTCGTTTGATTACCATTTTTGGAATTTTTCAGGAAAAGTAATCGGTAGGTTGTGAACACCCTGCTGAAGTCTGTCCCATGTCCCCCTCTCACTGCAGGACCTGAAGGTGTCCCAGACCCCATAAAGATTTTTCAGGTTCATAAGGAGCTACAGTGGAGAGCAGGAGTTAGAGAATTTCCCTTGCACGATTGTCCATGCATTCATGGAGCATTGCTTTATGTAGGTTGCAGACTTGATAGTACCCTGCTTTTCATACAGTGTTTTCTTCAGAACTGAGAAGATGAGTGCATTGCATTTATATCCAGGCATTTCCCTCTTGTGAGGTACCCAAAGCAGCTTACATAGTTCTCCATTCCATTTTTACCCTCAAAACAACAACCCTGTTTGGATCTGTGAGTCTGTGACTGGAGCAAAATCATCCAGTGAACTTCATGGCTGAGCAGGGACTAGAACTTGGATCTCCTAGGTCCCCAGTCCAACACTCTAGCTGCTATACCACAGTCACTCTTAATAACTCAATGGCCTAGAGGGGGAGATATCTGTGGGTTGCTAAACCTCATTTAAATAACATCTAATAAGTCTTCTGTTCTTAGAAATGGACCGTGACTATGGGCATGGTGCCTATGGTGGCCCAAGAGCTATGGATTCTTATATGAACCAGTCATATGGAATGGAAAGTCATGGAGGCGGCGGTGGAGGAGGTGGTGGTGGTACCAGGTAAAATACTGAATCTGTTGCTTTATATATATCCAACATGATATAATTTCAATCTACAGTATATCTTTTTTTCTTTTTTTTTTTGCAACTTAAGTGTTCCTTGAGAATGCTGCCATGATTCTGTGTGCAGTGGAACATAGAGATAGATAGTGCAGCAATCTAAAAAAAAAACCCTTTGGTTTAGTTTCTTTTAGTAGTGTGGAGTACTGTACTGCCTGTTCTGTAGCAAACCTATCTTGAAATTAGTTTGAATTATAGCTTACTAGTATTGAAATATTGTGTTAGCTTTTATGTAGCAGTACAGAAGCTATGGACATGTTTTGGATCAATATTGCTGCTCTTACTTGGTTCTATTTGAAAGGAACACTTAACTTTAATTTTAGTGCTAATATGTTTTGCAAGAATTACACAGTAGACAACTTGTCATGTCCAGATTATTTATTGGCAGGTACTAATTAAACTAAAATGTGTGTTTTGGCTACTCTATATTTTTTGTGTTCTGTGATCCTCTACTTCATATAGTTCTTAGTAATGTAGTTGCATTTCTGACAAATCTTTTGGATTTGCATTTTGCCTGCAATTCATGTTTACTAACATCAGGTTGTATTTTAATGTAAAATTGGCTTTCTTTCAAGATCTGTGCATTTTTAAATAATAACTGGATGAAAAATCAAATAAGGTGTTTCATTTGCATATTCTAATTCTTATATGTCAGTGAAAGATTGTAGTTTGGCAACTCTGAATTTATAAATTTTCTTGTGACATTTATTAGTAGGGAACTAGGGAATTGTGGGTAGAATCCGGAGGGGTTCTTATACTCTCATGAATTCCTTTCCATAGCACAATTTTCCTTCCACAAGCAGGATCCATCACTTACACAAGAGAAATTTCGCACTTCTTAGAACAAGTGCCAACAAGTGGAAACACTTGTTGGCAGACATGAGTCTTTCTGCTCATTTCAGGTTGGCCCAGTAGCACTAAATCATAGTTTTGCAAGTGGTGGGGCAGCATACAGAATGGAACATGTGGGGGGATAAGCACCCATTTGGAATCTACCCATGGTTACTCAACAGCGCTGTTCAGCAAAAGGTTGCTATATCTAATGTTTGGGTATAGTAAACTGTTCTGAGAATCAGAAATAAGCTGTACCTACCATCTAGTAATCTGCATATGATTGTAGTTCACTGATTAGAACTGAAAATTCTATAATGTTATGGGCTGCTCTTTAGATAGCGTTATAAATTTGTATCTCTTGTGTGACTGAATTTCTTTAAAAATGAAAATAGAACTGGTTATGATAATGTAGGTAAAGACAATACACATAGTCTTCTTAATTAAAAGTTTGCTTGCAGTTTCTTCTTTGTTAACTGTATTTTAAATCTTTGGGGAGAGCTTTGAACTTTCCAGTGCAGTTGTACATTACATTAATGTCCCCTGCACTCTGCCTCTTTCTTTTCTGCAATAAATAAGTAAAACTGTTGTTGCATATGGTTTCTTGGTATTGGCTGTTTATATATAATGCACTGCCCTTTCCTCTACCAAGGATATTTTGATACTGAAGACTTAGTTTTGTCTTTCCAGTCTATGCTAGGTACCTGCCTTATCCTCTTGAATATGCTAAATGTAATAGTAGATAGAAGATGAGGCATGTTAGTAGTTTTAATCTTCCAAGTGTAAATGCATTATGTTGCAGAAAGCAAAAGATAAAAAATGAAATGTGAACTTCTTGAGCTTTAGAACAAAAAAATCAACTTGTACTAATTGCCCATTATTACTGACAATTGTCAGAGTTTCCCAAATGAGGGCAGATACTTTTAAATGCTGTTGAACTGTTATTAGGCATAACTTTTAAAGACAGAACAGTTTTATTAACCTATTAAGTATGTGCAGCTACCTGCATTCATAAGACTAGGTCTGGGCACAAACAATGAGGTTTAAATACTATTGAATAACTAAATTGAATGAACTTCAGGCATTCTGAATGTTAACATTTTCTTTTATAGAAAAGTGGCACAGATAGCTTTCTGTCTGGTCACAGCTTGGAATTGCCCAGCCCTAATCAAGGCAAACCCTACCAAAGTAAAATATACATTGATGTTAGTTGATAAATGTCAACTGATAACTTGTCTTTTGAAATGTTTAACTTTAGTAAGCTTACTTTTTTTTTCCTCACTGCAACTTTTCCAGGTTTGGACCTTATGAGTCTTATGACTCCGGGTCTTCTCTGGGTGGGCGAGATCTGTACAGATCTGGCTATGGTTATAATGAACCCGAACAAAGCCGCTTCGGAGGTAGTTATGGTGGTCGATTTGACAGCAACTACCGGAATAGCCTTGACTCTTTCGGAGGTAGAAACCAGGGCGGGTCTAGCTGGGAAGCACCTTACTCACGCTCAAAGTTGAGGCCTGGGTTTATGGAGGACAGAGGAAGAGAGACTTACTCTTCCTACAGCAGTTTTTCTTCACCCCATATGAAGCCTGCACCTGTAGGCTCTCGGGGGAGAGGAACGCCTGCTTACCCTGACAGTGGATTTGGAAGCAGAAACTATGATGCTTTTGGAGGACCATCAACAGGCAGAGGCCGTGGCCGAGGAGTAAGTACAGAATCTTTTCAGATTCTTTTCACTAGTCACTCTTTTAAACCCTTTCAAGACCATAGCATTTAAAACAAATGGCACTGTACATCACAGTGCATTTTTGGCCAAACTGTTAGGGTTGATGACCTTCCAATCCGGTTTGGTGTTTACCCAGAATGTAGTACCCCTTCTCTCTTCATTTACAAGTAAAAGCACTAAGAGATTAGTTGCTGAGGTTTTGTAAAATCTCTCCTTTTGTTTGAAAGGTGAAGATTAAGGCAATGGGTTTGGTCTAAAAGGGGTTAAAAGGAATTGCATTTTTCCTTGTTAACACTAGCATCTTGGCTAGTGGGAAAAGTCTTGAAACATTGTAAAGGTTAATTAGAACCTTTCTCAGTTTTGAGTAGGTTAAAGGTGCAATGTATGTATAGTATTGAATTTTAGGGGTGAATGCCGTAAAGGAGATGTTTTTCTAGGGAAGCAGGCAATCACTTCTTCATATTCATTCTTAGCTAAACTCAAGTTCACCAGACTTAAATGGAAGGGTGGGCCTAACAAAGGTAGGTGATAAGAAATAAGATGATTTAAACAATGGTTAAAGGGACACCATCAACTTTAAAGCTAATTATTTTGGAAAGAAACTTAACTATATGCATTTTACAGTTTTCTAACAACTGTATAATACAGCAGTATCCAGTGCTGCACCTATGCTAGTGGGACCTTCTACTAGTTCAACTGGAAGGACAGAAGCACTAGTCTCTCGGCAAGTCAGTGGAGTTCTAGAAGGGAATACTGTTGACCTGTCCTTTTCTGGGAACAAGCATTTCTGCTTATTGTCAGAATTGCTTTTGGAAGTGGTAGGTTCTAAAGGTGCAGTGGAACTAGCAAAGACACAGTGACAGTACTAGATACTACTTAAAATTTCCTACATTATGTTCTTGCATGAGCAATGTGATTTTTCAGTGCAACTTGGAGTGTGAGGAAAGTAAAGCTTAATATGAGCAACCTCCCATTATTAAAAGCTTATATCCTTTATAGAATACTTCAGGTATATAAGATGATGATGTCCCATTAACCGTATACAGTCATTACCTCAGTTTAGTACAGCTAGTTCAGCTATTAATCCTACATATGCTATCTTAAAACTCATATGTATGTTTCCAGCAGCTGACTTTAAAAAGATTAAGTAGTTTATTTATAACCTAAATGTGGAGGGAAAGATAATTTCTCTTTACTAGATTGTCTGCATGCCTAATTATATTTTTTTCAAAAATAGCTTTACCCATGTAGCATTCTGAAGGGTATAATTGGCATAATTAGATTTAACTGAAACATAAACAGAACTAGTAGCTTTCTTGTAGTTTGGCAATAAACTGCTCTGCAGATTTGTGTAGTCCTTCTTTATCAGACTTTAAAAAAAAAAAGGTAGGTTTATTAAGCTGAGTGAGTTAAAATCTTAGGGAGAAACTGAAAGTTTACTTTTTAAAGCTTAGTGTTCCTCTCTTGGATCCTAAATACTTTGAGGAATAAACTACTTAATGTATTTAAAATGCATTGCACCTTTAATAGATTTTGGAAATATTTGCTCGTGCAAGTGTAAATCACTTAGAAAGTAACCTTTGATTTATATATATATATATGCGCAATGTGGATATATTGCTAGATTGTTTTTGTTTTTTTACTAGGGCCCAGTTTGTAGAAAGACTGAAATATAGAACTTATGCATGGACTTTGTTAGCATAATTATATTTTAATGATCTCTCACATATTCTGATGTACTATGGCTAGGTTAGTCAGACATTTTAGAATTCTACTGCCTTCTGGGCACAATCCTTTGTATGTTTAGATAGCCTGGAGAATGCTGGGATTTGTAGGACTTTTTTCCTGTCCAAACATATATAGGATTGCACCCTTAATGTCTTTAACTGTTAATATTAAAGATTTGGTTTTATGGCAGTAAACGTATTTCTGCTTATATAATTTCAGTCATCTAGTCAGATGAGCATTACTTGTATGTGACCTATTAAATGTATAAATAGGAAAGTAGACCTGCATTTTGGCTTTTTCCTGGCTCCTTCTCTTCAGTTTGCTCCTGTATTAAAATCATTAAAATCTGTGCAACCAGCCGGTTTAAAGCTCTTTACATTGGCTTTTTTTCTTTTTTAAGATATCTGAGACAGAGAACAGCTATTTCACACCTATGGCTCACTAAGTTTCATCCTTGTTAGAAAGTAGGAGCTTACTATTAGAGGGTCTTAAAGTTTACTATACTCACTGCTACAGTCTTCATGTTGTGAAATAGTAATGGAATGATTTTGTAGTTTGCAGACTAGTGTGGGTAACCATTACTAGCATTCTAGAAATGTTTCGTTTTTTCTCAAACACTCTTAGTTAAGATGTAGCATTTCTAAAAACATTTGAGGCAGTCAGAAATAAAAGTTTTTTTTATTATTTTGGTAAATTGAAATATATGCCATCATTACTTAGTGAGCCTAAACTAATTGTAGTGCTTTCATAACAATACATCATATATAACATAGCATATAAAATATACTAATAGTGTACTAAGAATATTTTAAAAATAGTTCTACTTATTTAAATGTTAGCCTGCTATTGGGAACCTATTCCCAAATAAATGAGAATAATAGTAAGCAAAGTGCATTTAACAGAAACTCTTTTGTATAATCACAATAATGACTAGCAGTGTATTTAAGTTTTTTAAATTTCTGCTTTCTTTGCCCTCCAATAATCGAACCTCTTTAACTTGTATGTTGAAATCCAACTTCTACAACTGAACTTTACAGTATACATGGGAATTACCTTTCTGTAATGCTATAGATTATCTTATATACCATATAGTTCAAGAGAGTAATGTTTCTCTTAAAATTATCACTAATTTCATAAGACAAAATGATTTTCATATAAACTCTTTTTAGTGTTCCACAAAAGGCATTTTTAAGCCCCCCACCCGAGCTTTTCCATCTCTGCTGATGGACAGATTTTGGTTTGTTTGTTTGTTTTTTTAAGGCATATCTGGAGCATCTGAAGAGTGGAAGTGCAGCTCAAATTCTAAGCATCATAATTTGGTCTAATGACTTTAAATAAGCAGAAATCTATTTGATATAAGCAGTTTGTGTTAAATAACTGAAACACTAGTAAGCATACATTTCTGATGTGTATTACCTTACTAGTATTCTTATTCTTAAATGTATTCTTATTTTCTGAGTTAAATTGTAAAAAAATATGTTGGTATTTGAATTAGGTTCTTTGCAGTTAGCCACATCGTTTTCTAATACTTGCTCTTCACCCATTTACAGTACATGGGAGACTTTGGAGGCATGCATAGACCTGGAATTGTGGTAGACTATCATAACAAACCCAGTTCTGCAGCAGTAGCTGCACGAGGAATAAAGAGAAAAATGATACAGCAGCCGTATAATAAACCAGGTGGGACATTTATCAAGAAACCCAAACTGACAAAACCTAATGTGAAGATGAACCAAAACAAACCTAGTAAGTAATTGAACGAAAGATGCGAATTATAGCACTATTTAACATTTTCTGAGAGGACACATTTATGATGCTTTGCCATTCTTCATTTTTCAGCCTCAAAGCCTCCTCGGAAACCGGCTATTCATAGAGATTGAGCTTGGTGGCACAAATTAGAAATTTTATTCTGGTACTTCAAGTGAAGTCACTTTATCAGCTTTGTGCCTATATACTATGCTCTTTGTTAAACATTTTGGTATAAATTTAGTTCTATACATGTGTGCATACAATTTGAAACCTTTTCTGGCTTCTTTTATTGTGAAGACTGCTTGCTAGATAAGTTGCTGTAGGGCTGCCAGGAAAACAATTATCACTGAGTACAATATAGAATTTGATATTCAGATCAGAATTACTCATATGGTGTGAGAATGTGAATGTTTTGGCCCCTTCTGGTTGCTTCTCTAATTAATGTGTTATCAAGTATGCCCGTTTGGTGGCTTGATGTGAGATTGTGGATTTTTTCTTCAAACAGTTAACATTTTCTCACTAACACTAACTTCACTGTTGGGAATCTAATGACTTCGGATTAAAGCCACATGTGTATGTGTATTGTTCAGTATATCTTAAAATATTTCCCTTCCTATTATTTAGTTAGTTGTGTTGCTGTTAAGCTCTTGTTGGGGTGACATGAACTTCAGAGGACTCCAAATGACATAGCTGATGTTCTGTAACGTCTTTCTACTAGTGAAGTGCTCATAATTTCAATGAACAGGATATATGGGGATAGAGGTAATCACAAGGACATGAAAGGTGGAGGGAATGGCTGTACTATGTTGCATGGCACCCCCATACATTTTTAGAAGGTAGAGGCTGGGATAGTCTTCATTTGTGACTATTGAAAGCTTCTGCCATTGCTTTTAGTGTCATCTCAAAGTACAGTACTTCATTCTTTGTCTGGTAGAATTACTGCCATATTAGAAAGAGAAAGGTGGTTACAAGGATACAGTGTGGGGGGGTAAATGCTTAATTCAGCTAATGTTCTTACTCTGTTTCTTTATTGCTCGGTGACATGTTGGGTTTCTTGCTGTCTCCATGTCTTTACACATCAGATACATCTTGTATGTATGTTGGTGGCCAGTGTAATGGATGTGGATGCTTCAGTTGTATCTAATACATAAAATGAAAATTCTGGAAATCCTTTTTTCTGTTGCAGTACAAACATACTTGAATAGATTTAACACTTACCTGTTACAAGTAAATTCACACAGTGTGATGAGTTACAGTGGCTTCTAAGCCAGGGATGGTTTGTCAAGTTTCTGAACTCTGCTAGAGTGAACAACAAGCCATGCAGCTGAGTTCAGAAAATGTGATGAACCATCCTTGGCTTATAAGCCAGCATGGTTTATGTTGTATGGAACCGGGTGCGTTATATTCATCTGTTTCTCACTCTATCTTATGTTGATTTTAGGGCAGTTTCCCCCCTTATTGAATATATGAAGAAATGCTATGTTATTAAGCAATCAACTTAATAATATTCTCTTCTGTTAAAAATATGTGGCTTAATGTTACTTCTTTTCATTAAAGCCACCATATTTTATCCGATATTTAAAACCCCTTCTGGATTAGAAGGCACTAACTCATAATGGATCTTCTGTGATGTGAGGTCTTGTTTTCTTGATGCAGTCAGCAAGCTAATCTAAAATTTCATTTGCGATGTGTTCACTTCTTGGAGTGGACTTGGTGGTTTGTTGAAATGTCCTGAGTTGCTCAACTGTCCTATTTTAGTATTGTTTTGAGATAAGTGTAGAAAACTACTGAACATCTTATACACAATAATGTAAAGACTTATCTTGACTATAATAAAAGCAACAGTTGTGAACTGAAATTTAAGAAGTAACAAATTAATGGAAAACAAATTACACAGTATGATGATACAATCCCACACGTTGACATGTATTTTCATTTTTTTAATATAATTTCAGTGCCTGTGAAAGGGAACTTGAATAAGTCAAAATTTGTTTATACTGTGCATTTTTTGATATCCTATTTCTACATACCAGATTCTGTTAAGTTTTCTATAACCAAACTTCCTATCTTCCCAGTTTCCCAAGGATTTAAACAAAATGCTAGGTGAGGCAAAACATTTCACTGCAGTTTGATTCTTTTTAAATTTCTTCCTCCTTTCATGCGAATAGACCCAAGGACACCAAGCAAGAATACTACTGAAGAGGTAAAGATCTCAAGTTTTGAAAGATATTGTACTTTACAGGACTCATTGAAATGCATCACAGAATGATCACCTAACTTTGTTCAGAATTTCATGAAACAGAAGTGATGCCTGTGTGTTCAGTGGGCATTCTTAGTCCTTCTTCTGACAGAACTGTGCCAGAAGAATTTGGACTCCAATTTCTGATACTGATTTAGCAAGTGATATTGGAAGTAAGAGTGAGAATCTCTTGTGTGGCTATGGCTGTGATTCAGAGACCTTTTTTAAACAAAATTTTATAAATTTCAGGAATAGCATTCTATTTGATGGGTAGGCACAAAATAATATATTTTGTGGCTTTAGTCTTTATAGGAGATTCTTACCCGAGATGCAGACCATTTGTGTGTTAACTGTTTTGTTTCTAAGGCAGTATCCAGTGGTGGCCACCTGTGAGTGGCTACTCCTGCTTATTCTGTTGAGCAGATGGCACCCATCACCTCTGCAACCAAGATTTAGTACTTCTGGGGGCAGCTTGACCCATTCCAGAAATAAGTATTTGTGTCTGTCTCAGGACTTGCACCCAGAAGCACTTAAAACTCCATTGTGTGGGTGCCAAGGTTGTGGAATGGAAGCAGTGGTTGACTCTGCTTAGGGGCAGTCAGCATTGCATACTGCTCCAAGTCTAGATTTCTAAAAATTTTTGTGAAGCTTGTAGAATAGAATTAAAAATGAAATATTTCAGAACCCAATGTAGTTTTCTAGATCTATTTTAGGGCTTTTGTAGTAGCTTGCCAGAAAATAGTTAAGTTTATGTTTGCATTCCATATGTATGATTCTATGAAATGTTGTAGGTTTCCCAGTATTAGTTACATAGATAAATAACAGTTATTTAAAAAAGTGTTCAAAGTAGTCAGCATGGATTTCTCTAAAAATGCTGGCTTTAACCTATAAATCCCTACATGCCTTGGGACCTGATAGAATCACCTCCCAGCCTAAATCTGTATGGATATTCAGCATCTGAGATTTTTATGCAAGTGCCACTTCTGAGGGAGGTTTGGAAGAAGTGGCAGGCATCAACAGGTCCTTCACAGTGCTGACCCTCTCCCCCCAGTATGAAGTAAACTCTCCGCTAACACCATTGTGGAGCCAACTCTGTCCTCTTTTTGGCACCATGTTAAGTGCCCTTTTCTCCCAGACATTTAAGGCTATTTAAGGGCATGATGGGGCATTTATATCAGCTGGTTTTACAGGTTTGATTTCTACCAAAATTGATGTGGTTGTTGCCAAACTCTGTATAATGAAAAATGTTGTGTTTTATTTATTTGTGGTTCATGTTTTATGAATTACTGTGCTGTTGTGTGGTATAGAAATGAAATGAACTGGTAATAGCATTCAGTTTTCAACTTAGGTTTGGTCATAAATACGACTATTGCTAATTGGTTAGCTTGATTAAATACTCACCGAATCCCTGTTTAAAAGCCCTGAACAGAGCTACAAAATACCAGGTGCCTGGCTGCAACATCACATAGAAAGCTTGGCATATTTTTCTAGCTGGTCTCAAGCTGACTTCTACAATTTTATGTTTGCATCAGTAACCTGACCCACTTCTAAACTGGACATACTTCTTAAAAAAAAAAAACCTCAAGTGGACTTAGGGACATTCAGAGTTTGAGACCTGAAGAACATAGGGTAATACAAATCTGCAACCATTAAAACGTGGTATAAATACATAGCAGAATGGGTACACTTAAATCTAAAAATAGTTATATAAACAATTCAAGTACTAAGCCTCCTCAAAGCCTGGCAGAATAAAAATGTTTCATGCTTTTCTTAAAAGCTTAGCGGAATGGTACTGGTGCACGATGAAACAAGCCTCACTCCAGAAAAAGCTCTCTCTGGACTTTGACCTCAGATCATGAGGGACTTCAAGTAGGGTTTCATTTGAAGTTTGTAGCACATGTGAAAGCTCGTGTAATAGTAAGCACTCCCTGAGATTTTGGGTATATTGCAGGTGAATATTGAGTCAGAGAATGAAGACTAGTAGATGAAAAGTTCACAAATCAGGGTAACAGAGCATGTGTGCATAACGGTAAGAAAAATATGGAAATAAATTTTGATTCCTAATTAGGACAGTATTTGGGAAAGCCTGCAAAAGTAAAAACTTTGCTCAAGTCAGACCTTGACTGTAGGGTGAGGTTAAAATGTCCTTATAGCAAGAATGCTCTATTCAGCATAAACTTAATGTCCCAGATAGTGGGTTAATTAACAACTGGAAATGCACTATGCTATATAAAAGCACAACCCTTTGCATGTTGATTCACTGCTTGATCATTAGCAACATGTAAAGAAGTGGAACCTACTGTTCTTAAATTCTCTTATTTGGAGGCAATCACTTCAGCTAACTGGATTGAAATTAATAATTCCCTTACTGGAATTAATATGCCACATTTTGTCAGCTCTTCTGTTTACTTTGGAAACTTGTGCATTTGACCTTTCATCAGGGTAATGAAGCTGAAGCAGGTGACACAATTACGGATGAAGACTTTACAAAAGATGCCTGTGATGGCATCTATCAGGCCTTTGAAGGTAAGCCTGCTTGTTTTATCAGGTAAAACTCAAGATAATGTGCTACTGCAGTTTCACCTGGTGAAATTTCTCTAGGAAAGTTGCACTTGATTGTGTCCTTTCCTGAAGTAGTAATTCTTTTTCTTCTCCTAAACCTTTATCTTTTGAGTAGCATTTTTTGTGTGGCAAATATGTAACATTTCTACTGTAATAACATTTTCTTTCTTCATCCAGGTCATGTATACTCTAGTTTTGTTTGACTTTGTTTCTTTTAGCATTAGCTGCCACTTAAATGAGTGTTACAGTATTTATCTTCCTTATGTTTGTAGTTCCTGAATATTTCATTAGATACTGATTTTAAAGTAGACCAAGTACCAGCTGTTCTGCACCATAAATTGTTTTATACATGCTGCTTATTAAAACAGGTAAACTATCTATTTTTAGGAGACTGAAGTTTCAGTTGCTATACCATATCTTCAAACCCACAATCAAGAAAATTCAGCATTTTGAAGTTGAAATTTTGTCTGAACTTCTCCCTGATGTGCTTTGCTATTGTGTACAATCTGTATGAAACGAGGAATGTTGGGAACTTGCTACAAATTGTACAGAGCTTCTTGTCTTGAAAAACTGTGGGCATATCTCATACTGTGTAATAGGCTTTCCATTAAAACTACTGTGCACTGTTTTGTTTGTGATGCTCTGATTACAAGGCCAAGCATAATCTACTTTGACTCCCAAATTGCACCATCCTCAGATTACAATTTAAGTTTGTTTAGTGTAAGTCTAGTGCCATGGATTAATCAGTTAATGGCACCTTAGCAAATGTGCAAGTTTTTCCACTTAATTCTTGAAATAGTTAAGATACCATGCTGAAAAGTAGGAGTCCCAAGTTCATTTCTGGACTTGAGTGTCAATTTCTCTGGACTGTACTAGGCTAGGATTTAAAGGTGTCTGCCGATCTTGAGAGGCAAGATGCAGACTGTGTCTCTCTACAGAAGTCGAGTCAGATGGCTTATGCAGCAATTAAACAAGGACTTGCGTATCCTTTGGGCTTTGGAGGTAAGGTGCCACATTGCAAGTTTGTCCCTCTGGATTTGTTTCAAGGTGCTGGGGAGTTTTCTTGGTGGAAGGGCCTAGAGGGTGGGGGACCCTGGTGGAAAGGATGGTGGGGAACCTGTGAATGTCAAGGCAATGTAATTCCCTTGGAGAAAATTTCTTACTGCATATAAAGGGTGGGTGCAGCCAGAGCTGGTGGTGGGCCAGGCATTTTCTTTCTTCTATCCCTTCTCTCTTACCTATTCTCCTCCATCTGCAATTAGGTTTGGGGGGAAGAGATCCCATTTATGTGAATTGAATGTTCCTGTGTGCAGGAAGAAGGGGAAACTGTGGACTGGATCCAGAAATACCATGGGATGCATCTAGCCTGTTTACTGGTGTTTCCATACCCTCGAACTAGAGTATGCATGGTTTGTGTGCTGGTTGGAAGAAATGGAGTGGTTTTTCTACAGATAAGTGCAGGCATGAGCAGGCATAAGGCTTTTTGGGGACCTACTTTTTGTTTTAGTAGGCTCCCAAATTCCATTGATTGGATCCTTGTGCAAAAGACATGTATTTAGAATTAAAGGTTTCTGAGCCCAGGAATTTGTGGTGTACCAGAAGTGAATGGAGCTCACAGTTCTTCCACATGAAAAATCCAGTTATCCCAGGCTTTTCTTAATTTTCAGCAGTGTAATGTGGGGCCGGAGGTAGAGCCATGATGCTGCTAGTTTTGCCAAACAGTGAAGAGTTTGATAACTTTGTTAATCTACTTCATATCACCCAGTGATAGACCAGTGCAGATTTACTTTCTACCTCTCCCTGAATTAGGGGAATGGTACTCCAAAAGTAATTGTAGGCTGTTGTGATTACTATTCCTACATTGCTGCTATTTAGCAATTTAAAAAAACCACTGGTACCTGTTTTTAATAAGGCAGACTTTTCTTTCAAAATGACATGTAAAGGAGAGAACAGCTGTTTGGCTGCTTGAAAATCATGTCCAGATTGAAAATTAAATCCACGTTTGACATATGGATTGAAAGCCTGCCTCCCCTATAAATGGAGAGAATCCAGAGCACATTCTCTGGAACAAAGTTTTTGAAGTTACTTTAGTATGCAGAATAAGGAATGTTTGTACACATTGATATCTGTGTTAAGCCCCATAATATTGTCAGCTGTACAGAGGGAATAACAGGGAACCTGTAATTGATGTTGCATTATAATTTAGGGTAGAAGTTGGTCTTTTTATTCATTGGAATTTTAAAGATTGCATGCCTTTCCATTTCAGATTATCTGTTTGTTCTGTTCTATAAGCTGTCTTCACAATAAAACCAGCAAGCATCTAACTAAAAAATAACAAATATGTAGCAATACATTTGAGATCTTCTCAACTGTAGGATTTACAAACACTTTGATTTCCTATTATCTCAGCTGGTCACTTGTTTAGTGCCTTTAGTATGTAGGCACAATGAGATTAGGTTGGCTTTAATTTTGGATTTAACTTTTGTGAGCATGACCCTTGATCACAAACCTATGCTGAAATTATTGAATGTTACCAGTTGCTTTTATTTAAATCCACACCCTTGTAGATACCATTGTCATACGTGGCTTGAATTTATTCCTCCTTATGAGACCATAAATAATAGTTCAGATAGGGTAAGTTGAACTTCACATTTCTCCCTTGTTGGAGTTTAGAACTTTAATATTTATATAGTTCTTAACTGTTTCTAGGTGTCAAGCCAGAAGTGAAAAATGAAGAGGAAGAAAAGCGTCGAATTGAGGCAAGAAGAGAGAAGCAAAGACGTAGGAGGGAGAAAAACAGTGAAAAGTATGGTGATGGTTACAGGTTTGTGGTGGAAATGTCATGAATTTGCCCTCGGCCATAAGTCACAGGCATGCACAATGGCAATGTTTCTTGTAAGGTGCCTTTGCTCTGCCTGCTCCATGGTGTCTTGTGTCTGAATCCCAGTGCCATATGGATGTTACCCTGTGTTTTCATACATCTGGAAGCATGGACGCTACTGTGTATCGTAGAATATTGTATGCCATTGTACTCTTGGAAATACTCAACAAATCATTTGCTGAATGTGTGTAGACCATATTGCGGAATCTCCGAGATAATTGTAATTTAAGTCAGGGGAAGATTGCCTCATGCTGTAGAGCTATTTTAGACTTAAACTTTCACAAGTCTCAGCCAATGTGGCTGTAGGAGCTTTACTGCAAAACATCTGAAGGACATCCAGTTTCTCACACCTGATTTAGATAATACAGCAAAGGGAAGGATATGCTTAGTAGATTCCTATGTGTAAACTCACTGTGGAACTACCAACTTGCAATCTCACATCTGCATTGTTGAGATAAAGGTCCTATGTTAGAGGTGGAAGAAATTTGATTGCTGGATGTTTTGAACTTTGGCTACCATAAGCCACTGCCAGCATGGCCAGTGATCTGGAGTGTTGCGAGCTGAAGTCCAAAAATATCCAGATATCTGCTTTCTTCTTACTCTTGTTCTTATTAAATAGATAGAAAAGTTAATTCCATACACTTTGAACATTTGAAATGATTAAAAGTTACAATTTTAACACTGTGGTTTTAAAAATCAGCAATGAAAATGTTGACTGATTCTTTTATTCTTTATAAGCTTTGACAGACTTACCAGACTTCACTTAACAAACTTCTTTCTTAACTGAAAAGATGAGACAAATGGCTTTCCTTTTAGTGTAGTCACTAGTGAGATTGTGTTAATTCATTGCATTAATGTAGATCTCTACTATATTGTGAGAGAATATAGAATAATATTCTATTATTATGATGCATAACAAGGTGATAACTTATGTTTCTCTACCTCCAGAAGTCCAGAAAGATAGCCATATGTCTGCAGCAAATAATCTTGTATCATCCTAAAGCATGGGTCCTCAAACTACAGGCGGCATCCAGCCCACCATGCCCATTTATCCGGCCTGCCTCAGTTTTGGACTCGCTTGGAGAAAACTATCTCCGAGCGAGCAAGCTGCTGCTGCACCCCACATGCGCCCACCCCCACCTCATTGTGCGCATGCGCCTGCCCCCGCTTCGCCTCACCATGCGCCCGCTGCCACCTCACCGTGTGTGTGCGTGCCTGCCCTAGCTGGGCCCCCGTCCCCTCGCCGACCTGTGCACCCCCACCCACCGCCAGCACCCTTCAGCTGGCCCCCTGTTGAAAATGTTTGAGGACCCCGCCTTGAAGAATAACCACTATACTGTAGCATAAACTTTAAGCTAGATTTTAGTAAAGATGTATCTGGAGAGGTCTGTACACCATGATAGCTTATGCCACAATACTATGTTAGAATTTAAACTGCCACAAGCTGCTTCTTTCTTTCAAGCTGTATTTGTAGTGTTCTTTGTTGACTGTTTGTTTCTGCAGATAGTTCTTCTAAAGCTGACATAGCATTTTCATTACTGGTTAATCCTTTGCTCAATTTTAACATTTCTTTGGAAAAACATAGGGATCATGTTTAGTTTAGAAATGAATGTAAAGGTCTTCTGCTCTTCTTTGCCTTTACTGCCAAAGTACAACTAAGAACAACAGACGCTCTACTATCTCAAACTGCTTTTTAAGTGCTGTTCAGTTTTTAAGCAATTTGATATATTTTAGGAGAAAATGTTTGGGATGAACATAAAACTGTTTGATATAAAACATAAATAAATGGTCTTCTGAGCTTTGGAGGTTCATATAACTTGTATCAGCTTTGGATCCTGTCTTGCTGTGCAGGTCAAAAAAGTTTTATTCAGAAGTAAGTCTTACTGAATTCGGTGGTACTTGTGTCCTAGTATGAATTCTAAGCATTCCAGCCTTTGGGCAGTATGCAGTACAGTGCTACTATTGACAAATAATGTTGTGCTAGTACACATTACATCTAGTGCAATAAGTGCTTGCCAGAGTAAGGCGTTTCCTTGGAAAAGCAGTTGTGCTAGGGAGTGTGATTGCTGTTTTGCTGGAGGGTTTTTATGCTAGCACAAAATTTATGCCAGCAGGAGTGTTACATTGGGCACCGTCCTTCGAATCCAAAACTTAAATACTGTAAGCTGATGTCTACGTTTCTGTATTTTCATCAGCCTACATGGAATTTTAAAGAATTTATTTTTTACTGAACTATGTATTAAAATGGCAGGATTTAAATATAAAATGTACCTATGTAATATGCCTGTATCTCCTGCTAGAATGGCATTCACCTGTTCATTCTGTAAGTTCCGAACATTTGAAGAAAAAGACATTGAAGCTCATCTGGAAAGTGCTGTTCATCAGGAAACTTTAGATCATATTCAGAAACAAACCAAATTTGACAAAGTTGTGATGGAGTTCCTGCATGTAAGTGGCCTTCTTGTCGAAATCCAGTTAATGGAGGGAGCTTTAGGTGATGCGTTGACTTTAAAAAATAAATCACAGTGGACTTAATCTTACTGGTTAAACGTGTGTTTTTAGAAAATTTGATCAACATATGCTTTTGCTGTATTGCAAAACTTCTGAAACTCTGTTAAATTGTAAAAAAGTGTAAGGTGGGGGATGGGAGCAAAGGGAAGGGGATCAGGGTTCTGTTTTGGAAAATGTCTAAAGCCTTCTGGGACTTAGCAGACTAATTTCTTTGGATTGTTGTTACTGAAATGGGTAGTATCTGTGTAAAAAAGAACTTGGAATGAATGAATATAACTCGTGTTATTTTGTTTTCCCTACGTATGTTGTGAACTTGCATTCTAGGAATGTATGGTGAATAAATTCAAGAAGACTGCTATGCGTAAGCAGCAGACCACTAGCCAAATGGAAGCTGCCCAGATAACTGAAAAAGATGTCATGGAAGGCAAGTGGCCTGTGAATGTGTCCTTATCACATATCAGCACAGCAATTTTGTCACGTGGGCTCAGTCTGGAACTGCATATTACAAGGCCAAACTGTGTTCTTAAACAATGGTAACCTTTTCAGAAGAAAGAGTGGGCATTCAGAAGAAAGAATTAAGTGCCTCATTCCTACCCCACCCCCAAACTTGGGTTCCAGACTCTGGCTTCTTTGAAAAATTAGGTGTTGATCTATTTAATTCTTAATTCTGCTATTAAGATAGGAAAGATCATGTAACTCTGAAGCATTTGTTGTACATTGATTGTTTTTTGTGTTGTATCATAAACATGAACTTTAGTGCAATTGTACATGAAATTTTGTTTGCCAGTTTTTCGAATTGTATCAAATGAATTAGTGAATTTTAGATTGTCTGAAGTTCACATTTGACCATTCCTGGTATTGGTCCCTAACGTGTAGTTCAGCACTTTCGCAATCCACCAATACCTACTTCTGAATCCCTCCAATAAAATAACTTTCACATATTAAACTGTAATACTATTAATAGTATTACTTTTTATGGCACAATCTCAGATACACATAATGCTACCCCGATGTTGTCTTTTCTTTTCCAGGTGTCACAGCTGATGATCACATGATGAAAGTTGAAACTGTTCTCTGTTCCGCGTGTAGTGTGTATGTTCCTGCACTACACAGTTCTGTTCAGCAGCACTTAAAGTCTCCTGAGCATACAAAGGGAAAGCAGGTCAATTTTGACTATTCAGTTATTTTATGTGATTTATCAGGTTGGCTGTAGAAGCAGTTGGGATTTTGTTATGTATAATCTGGCTACTTGCATCATATTGCTTTGCTTGAGACCCAAACACTTTGACAGTTGCAGAATATGGCAATGATAGTTCATAATTATACCGTATTATGCAGAGTAGGCAGAAATTACAAAAGTAAATGGTAAAGGTTTCAAGCCCCTCAACAGATACCTAAAATGCTGAATTGTAGCAAATCACATACACACTGTACATATGCATTTTTTTTCACAATGTCACAGATAAGATTTTTTCTTACCATACATCCTAGCAACCTCGGCATATGATACTTTCTTTCCCTATTAAATTGAGAGTTTTCACCTAAAGGAAGCACTTCACTACTTCTTTTTGGCACTTCATGGCACATTTTGACTTCTCTTCGGCACTTTACAACTAACTTCTCTTTCAGACTGAGGTATACTGCAGTTGAGTGAAACTGCGGTAACTGAGCCAGTGAATAAAGGAGTTCTGCTGTACCAACTCTAGTGCAATTTGGAGCGGCCAGGAAAAAGGAGGATAATACATAAATGAACTGTGTCTGGCTCAGTATGTTTTAGTGGTTCAGTTTGCCTGATGTCTCAGCAGTATAGTTGATGATGATCTGAAATCTTGTGAATGAATCTCCAGTAGTCATTTGCTTTTGTTAATATATGCTTTTACAATTTGAAAAATTCATAACCAGGCCTGAACAGTCAGCTTGGTGTCACCACCAGTAATATTTAATTGATCCAATGGGTTGATCACTGAAGGAAAAATTGTGATAGCACAAAATTCCAGGGAAAAAGTTAGCACCACCTCTTCTTCCATTAATTCCATCTTCACTGGGCTGACTTGGCTTATCCTATACTTTTCTGTACTTGTAAATGTTTGAAAATTAATAAGATTTAAGAATTAAACTTATCCCCCATTTATGTGCAGAGATAATTATACTCCACTTCCATGTTTGGAGGGACTTTTAGAATTTTCATAACAGGTAGTAAATAATAAAGGGAACCACCTCCTTCCACGCACATGCCAAAAATAATTTCTGTTCCAATTACACTTACCTTCACTGATTGCTCACTTATTTTGGCTCACTTAGCCTAAAAGACAGAGCAGTATCTTCTGGAGCAACTAATTTGCATAGTTCTGTATTTGAGTTGTCCAAAGTATGGGCTTCATTTCAAATTATGTGAGTTCTAGCCACTATTCACACTATCTTTATAAATACTAATATAGGTAGATTGAAACAGCCAACACATAGCTGCCAACACAAAGATGGCTTTTCTTATCATCCCGTCTTTATGGGGTTCTAGTCCAGCATGTATTTCAGGGCAAGCAGAATGTCTCTCAGGATTTACCCATCAGCATCTGGTTGACCTGCAAGGGACTGACAAGGGTATCTGCCTCCATTCTTCTTCAGTTTAAACTTCTTATTGGCTAGCTAAGCTAGCTACTTATTGGTATGGTAGTATCATTTTTAATTTCTTTGGGGTTTTCTTTTAATTTTCCTATCCATATGTGAAGTTACATCCTCTGGTCATTGTCTTTTACTCTTCTCTGCTGACAAAATTTATCACCCTCCAAAACACGATTTTTATTTAATGTGTATCATTGGTTTGAACTGCCGTGATCAACCATTCTGATGTGGAGTAAAGAATGTATCTAGGTAAAAAGGTGCTAGTTTAAAATACTCTTACTAGAATATTAAATGTAAAAATTGGCTTTTGTAAAATGGAATTGCATGAATTCTACTCAAACTTAAATGGTTGGAAATAGAGACTGAATATAATGTCCTTGGTATTGTTCTTTATTGATCCACAAATTCCTGTTTCTACAAAGCGTTCCATCAAAACCTATGCTCTATCCTTTCGTGAGTGTTCTAAAGGCAGATGGGTAAATTGGCACATAGAACTTTTAAGAATTCAACCTTTTCTGAATAGTCTTTTCTCTTTAACAAATTAATGTCTGTCTACTACAGTATTTGATACAATGCATACTGAATGTCCATTTGGTTTTTAATGCTTGCTATTACAGTGTAATTTAATTTACAGACTTACAAAGAACAAATTAAAAGAGAGAGTGTACTAACTGCTACCAGCATCTTGAATAACCCAATTGTGAAGGCACGGTATGAGCGCTATGTCAAGGTAAGCTTGCAGTATGAAGCAAAGTTTCTGGGAGCAGTCACTGATGATAAAAACATGTGTGAAGTTCACTCCTCTGCATGATTCTGTTGACTTATGTAAGTGAAGTAATCCTAAAGCCTACATCTTTTATTTAGAAAAACTAGCTTAGCCATATGTAGTTCAGAGCGGTAGTGGGACTTCAAGCCAATTAAAGATATTATAATGTCTCTATTAAACAAGAAATTAAATTATTAGCTTTTATTTGCATATTAAAATATTTTTGTAGCAACCCATACATTTTAAGATTAGATATATGTGCATTGTAGCTGGCATCATCTTAGACACGGGATGGGAGTAATACATGATTTGGTAGCTGCACTTTTTAAAAAAGTATCTGTGTTAAAATATTTTATTAAATCTTTAATAAAAGCACAAGGACATCTTTTTAGTCAATTAAAATATTTCTTTCTTATCAATTGGCCTTTCATCTCTGGTTGAAACATGAAGTTCATCTAGAGTATGAGTTCTCTGTATAATTTGGCTTCAGTTAACTTCAACTTTAACTTGGCCTAAATAGAATGAAATGGAAGGGGAACGAATGGATTGCGCAATAAGCTATATACACATCAGTAACCAAGTGGAGTTTGGCTTTACTGTCCTGGACTAATTGTCCAGGCCACTGTCTAGAAGTCAGAACACCAGAGAGTGTTAGTTGAGTTCTCCTGGAAGAGTCACCACTGCCCTGCTGAAACATACATAGAAACAGAGCGAGTCAGAAGGAGTCTCCCAGACCATCTAGTCTGACCCCTGGCTCCAGCCGGCTCCGCTCACAACATGCCCACCATGCGCATGTTGAGCCTGTCTTTGAACACCCTCACTGATGGGGCCTCAACAACCTCCCGTGGAAGCCTATTCCATGCCCTCGGGGTCCTGACTGTCAGGAAGTGCTTCCTGGCATCTAAATGGAACCTTGGTTCCCTGAGCTTTGCTCCGTTGGAGCGCATCCTGCCTTCCTCTGCAGGGGAAAACAGGTCTCTGCCCATCTCCATATGACATTCCCTCACATACCTGTATGTTGCCAACATATCCCCTCTGAGTCTCCAGGCTGAAGAAACCCAGTTCCCTCAGTCTCGCCTCATACCCCATCCCCTGCAAACTGGCCATCAACCTTGTGGCCCTATACTGCACTGACTCTAACCTGGCTATATCCTTTCTGTAATGAGGGGCCCCCAAAACAGAGCACAATACTCCCAATTGCGGGTGCACCAGAGTCGTATAGAGTGGTAGTAATACCTCTCTCGATCTAGAAGCCACACTTATGGCTATGCAACCAAGGGTGGCGTTTGCCCTCTTGACCACCACATCACACTGCTGACTCATGTTTAGCCTGCAGTCAACCAGCACCCCGAGGTCCCTTTCACAAGTGCTGCTCTCCAGCCACTTGTCACCTAACCTGTACTTATGACAGCTGTTCCTATGCCCCAAGTGCAAGACCTTGCACTTAGCCCCATTGAACGCCATCCTGTTGTCTCCTGCCCACTTCCATAGTCTGTCCAGATCCTTTTGGATCTGGAGCACCTGCTCCTCGGTTGTGGCCACTGCTCCAGTTTTAGTGTCGTCTGCGAATTTGCTCAGCAGACTGTTCACCCCTTCTTCCAGGTCGTTTATGAAAAGATTAAACAGGATCTGCCCCAGGACAGAGCGCTGGGGACCCCGCTTGTCACTGGCCACCATCCCCATGACTCCCCACTAATGGTTACCCTCTGCTTTCGGTCAGTCAGCCATGGGCTAATCCATCGGACAGTGCTTTGGTGTATCCCAAAACTCCTCAGTTTCTCAACCAGGATATCATGGGACACTTTGCTAGACCATTATGGCCCTTGTTTTCATTTCCAGATAGCAGGTTTATCCAGGGCATGGGTGAAAAAGAAACGAATGGTGGTTGCGTTTCTGGTCTTGACTTCTCTCCTCCCTGTTGCTTCTGCAGCTGATGCATACAGAGACACTTATTCCTTAGTAAACATGCATAGTATTGTGCTGTAAATGATTCTTTGGCATGCTTTCTTCAAGCCTTCTGGGGTGGGGTAGCTGGGGGACTGCTTGGGATACATGCTGGTTTTCTCCCTGTGTTTAATCTGGTGATATTAACATACTTCCAGTAATTTGTTCATGCATTACATTTATGTTGGCTATTCTCTATAAATTACTAAAGCCTCCATGTGTTATCTGTTTCTAGATTTTTTTTATTTGAGTGTGATTTATTTTATTGCAATGAAGTACTGTATATGTAGTACAGAAGGTACAAAATACAGTAGAACTTACTCCTGCTTGTTAGTGTATATTCAAGTCTATTATTATTGTAAATGCCTTGGAGGGAGGGATCCATGCAAACAACTATCCAGTTTTTCTGTTTTCTTGACTCTTGCTACTCATTCTTTAGCTAACATAGTTTGCCTAAGATGGCTGATTTTTCTTTTTCTTTTTTTCAAATACCTGCTTTCTCATCAGGGAGAAAATCCATTTGAAGTTTCTGATCAAAATCCAGAGCAGCAAGGGGAAGAAGACAAGGCAAATGAACCTGCAGAAGAGGAGGAAGAGGAGGCAGAAGCTGAGGAAGAGGAGGAAGCAGAAGGTGAAGAACAAACAGACTTCACTCTTGACCAGACAGAAGACAGTTAAATGCAAGAAATTTTACACGAGAGAAAAATGCTGCTTTTACATTCTGTTAACGTGGCTAAATGTAAAATTTCTAATAATTAAAAAGGAGGCTCATGTTATCATCCCCTACCCTGTGCATGCATTCCATTTAAATTTTAAATGCCCTTATGATCTGTTTTCACTTTTGCTTAAAATGAAGGTAAATTCATTTTAGTTCAGCTTTTATAGTAACCCAGCTATTAGAATTGATATAATACTGTATTATGTATGTTTTCAAACATTAGTTTTCTTTCCTTGATGTTGAGAATTGGGTATAAATTAGTACAAATTTTAAATCATTTCAACATAAAAGTATTTCAAGTAAATACATTGTACTTTGTTCTAGAAACTTAAAATTATGTTGTGAGTGGCTGTCTTTTGGACTGCATCACTCATTGTAAAATACATGTTATGACATACCTTGTAGCCTTTTTGTGATAAAATGTATTTGTTTGTAGCAATAAAATGTTTTCAAAACCTTAGTGTCATATAATTTTAAGCAGGGACCCAGCAAAAGACAGCTTGTTTAGCTGTTTGTTGGACCATTATGGTGTGTTCAATCTTCGCAATAATTAAGGCAAATCTAACATTGCACTGGCTTCTTAGTACAGTCCAAAATGATACTTGGTGTTTTTGTTATGAAATAAGACCAATTTTTAAATGTTAGATTCTACATGATTCTCATGTAGTTACTGAGAATATACTAATCAAACTTTACTTAAGCTGCTGTATCTATAGGCATTCTACCACTGCACTATGATTTGGCCCTTCTTGTTAAACAGGAGCCAGAAGCCCTTGCTGTTCTACTGCAAATCATCCAGAGATCTGCTTAGGCCTGGCCTAGAAAAATCGTCGTGGAATCCAAATAATTCATAATAGCAATTGTGTCCATGCAGATACTGTGTTAAGGGCAGCAGCTGAAATAGAGAGGAAGGCAACGAGAGTGCATCTTTAAACCACCCAGTTTACTACTTTTATCCTTGTTGTGCATATGCTTTTGTGGTGCTCTTTGACTCTGCACATCTTGGTTGATTTTTCTAGACTGAAGTTTTAAGATTATCCGCTAAATATGTGTGAATCTTGCTCTGGGCTTTGTCCAGATGGCTGTTTCCCGTACCACTGGTTGTGCAATTTAGTGCTAAAGCAGAAGGGGACTATTCCAAGGGAAACAGTATTTCTCTTGCAGCCTCTGATTAAGCTGTGCAAGCTGTCAGCATCTTAGTGTTAAATGTGTTTATTTTTTCCAATGAAATCAATGGGACTTTGGAAGGAAGGCCTATTTTCAGTATGGTTTGTACAATTATTGGGCTATATAGCTGAATTCCCCCCCAGCACCTTTCTGGTCTCCAAAATTTACCTTCAGTTAAAAATGCTTTTGAGAAGAAGGGTGTGCAGCTTTCTGTGTACAAAGAAATAGGCTTTTGCAGGAGCATTTTAATCCTGAATTGTGATTTACTGCGCATGTTCTGAAACTTGGAAGCAGGAACATATTTATGGAAACTTGTATCCTGTCTGAACCTGACCTAGATGTGTAAATTGTTGATCCTTACCACAATAATACCACTACTGTGAATTAGGACATCTTCAACGTCCCAGTTAAAAATAATTCTCTCCCCCTTATTTAAAATAGTTAAAAATTACAGTTCATCATTTTTGTGCAGACGCTTATATTATCACCCCTTTTCTGCATTGTTGTGATACTAAACATCTCGGGGTGGAATGTGTTTGAAACTTCTGGAAGCCTTTGTATGCTAGGGTTCTTGTCATCCGGAAAGGGGTTAACATGTTCCCAATCTGCCTCCCCCCCTCCCCCCGCTCCGCAGTGGTGGGTGAGTGGGGGATTTGGATTGCCTGTCTGTGTTGAGGTCATTGTCACTCTTAAATGACAGATGTCTTCTTGAAAATCCCTTGCATCTTCCCTTGTGATGTAAAGTTCAGCAACTGCAGTAACAGGGTGGAGTTCTCTAATAACTGTTAAATTTATTCTTTAGAGATTTTGCAAAAATGTTCTATTGCTCTTAGAGGGCTCCCTTGGCACCAGATTCTGCATTTTCTGTTTGCATAATGCCTGTAGATTTAAAGTCACTGTGCTCCCAGTTGTATGGCTTCAGTAGCCCTGGTTCAACGCTGCTGAAATGCTCGTAAATCTCCTTTCTTTGAGGGGCTTTGTGTAGCAGCTGGGGTATGACAATAAGGTCCCTGATCTGTAATTCCAGACAGCCCCTGCGGGGTGTATAGAATGACCAATCGTGAGCCTCTGTGTCACTTTAAATGATGAAGCTCCGAGAAGTATGTAGTTCCCTAGACATAATTATCTAATGCTCCCTATTTGTATTCATCAGGAAACTCCTTTCCATACTGTACTGATGGTGGTTTGGAGTACTGAATGACAGAAATAGAGTCTAGTTTAAAGTTTGCTCTTGACACTTCAGCTAGTGACTTCCCGTTGAAAAACTTGAGGGAAAAACATTTAACACAGTAAAATGCTTTCATTTCATTTCAGTACGGTGCACACCAGAAGAACTAAGAACTTGCAGCTACTGTGTTACTTTAGAAAATGCTTGATTTAATGCCCTCAGATAAGTGTTCATTATGAATGGTGTTTTTTAAGATACGTGTCTGAAATAGTGCCTCATATTGTCAAAGGGACCGAGATCATCAACAACATAAGAGCATGTTTACTTGGAATTTAGTTGCACTGAGTTCCATTGTCAAGATTGTCTGTGCTGACTAGTATGATGTAGCATACATACCCCTAATCCTCCATTTGAAATAGCGCATGCATTCTTGATTGCTGTATGCATGGATCCAGGCAGATAAGTGTGCTCATAAAATAGTGTGTAGTAAGGTAACCAAATTGCCCTACATGTATTTTTTAAAAGACATTTAACCTCTATTAGAATGCCTCCTTTATACATGGCGTAGAAAACTGGTTATACTTCATATTTTTTCTGATTATTTCATTCCAGAAGAAATATTAGATACCTACTTAATATTGCGCCCTCTTCATATCAAAATAGCCAGTATACTTAGAAAGGGTTCTAAATCTTCCCATTTATAGAAGCATTATTAAAAATTGACATAGAAATCTAGGGCTCTGCTTATGCCTGTAGTCCATGAATGATGCTTTAATGGTACCCCCGAGTTACGTCTTTCATCCTGCTGCCTCCAAGGTATGCCATTGCTTTTCTGTACACACACGGGACTGTCTCTAGTATTCCACTTAAGCAATTTGGGCAGCAGCTTTTTCATAATTGCTTCAGGGATCCCTTATTTGCTTCACACTGAAGGGCTCTAAATATATACATTGTAGAAACGGGGCTAGCTTTCTACCCTGTCTCCTGTATATCTTGACTACAGTTTTAAACAAAGATTTGTACTTAAAAGGCTCCGAATAGGAAGAGGTTAGCTTCTCTATGTTTCTCCTGTTTTTCCAGGCAATAATTTCCTCTATTCATAATCTGAGTTGCTCCCTTTGTTGGAGGAGGAACTGCTCCTTTTACCTTAAAAAATGAAACCAGAAAAATAATTTTCTAATTTTGCATTTTGATTATTCTCCTTTTCTATCCACTTTGCACTTCCTGTAGGCCACTGGAGTAAGCAAAGCATAATTTAACATTATTTGCCAAACATAATAAAAACTTGCATGAGGAAAGTGCTTGAAGAGCAATTGCTTGATTAAATTGCCTGATTCAAGATTAGTGTTAATAAGATTCCATTTCCAATAGTGCTAACATAAGTTGTACTATGTGTTCTGGATTTTTCTGTTTGGTAAATTATATCCAGAGGTGCAGTCATATTAACCTGTTGAACAGATTTGTGGCACCTGAAAGGCAAACAGATTCATGACAAGCTGCCCCTTCAGCGTGATATTCTCTGTATCAAATGGTGTTAACTCTGGCCCATGAAAACAGATGACATAACATTCCTCCCCACTCCCCAAAGGTGCAAGAAGACTCCTTTCTGGTAAATAATTACTATATTTTTAATTCTATGCTGAAAAAAAGAATATTTTGTGAAAATTTTGAAGAATTTAGTTTGCTTTTAAAGTTATGTGGATGCTCAGGGCAATATTCAATATTCTATATACCCTCACGCCCCTTAAGATCGGCAGGGGAGTCCTTGTTCCAGGAACCCCCTTTGAGGGCGGTATGGAGGGTATCTACGTGGAAGAAGGCCTTCTCTGCGGTGGCACCCATACTATTGGAACATGCTCCCCAGAGAGGTCTGTCTGGCGCCGGGTAAAGACTTTTTTTATTTACCCATCATTTTAATAACTAATACCACTATTTTAATAATTTTAATTGTATACAGTTGCATTTTTATTTTATTATTTTTTCTTTAATTGGTAGAGGATAAATTGTTGTTAATTGTTTTACTGTGCAATGTTTTAATGCTATTTATAAGAGAATATTGTTATTTATATTGTTATTTTATTTCTGTAAGCCATCCTGAGGCTGCTGCAAAGGATGGCATAGAAATAATTTAATTTAATTAATTAAAATATTCAAAGGAAGGATCCTAAGGATAACCTGATAAGTGGCTGATTTGCACCTCTGCTGCAGTCATCTACCTCTTCTAATGCAACATTGATTTCTGGCAAAGATAGACATGGTCAGCCCATGGACAAAATTAAAATTCAGTGTGACTCTTAATTCCAGCTGAGGCCAACAGAACCACTCATGACTCGAAAGTGAAGCACCCACCCACCCTGAAAGATTCATGCTTCAGCCCATACACATCCCATCACTGAAGGCATTATTTTCAAGATGAAACATTCATGTTGATCAGGTGGAGCTGCTACAGGTGCAGTCAGGTGTCTGGTCTGCCTCAATCTATTAACACTTCTGGTTGGCAAGAGCTTTCCCAGATCTTGGGTCCCAATAGCCAAAATTCTCTTGGTGCTGTGCAACAATTCACAACATTTCTGAAAAAAATAAAATGTTGCACAACGTTTCATTACACAACATTTAAAACACTTTGAACAGCTAAAAACAATTTCAATAAAATACTAAACTTGTTAAAACCAGCTAACATCAATTCCCCCATCTTATTACATTGCATTTATATCCCACCTTTCTGCTTGCAAAGGAGCCGAGCAGCTTCCCTGATCCTCTGTTTTCACCCTAACAACAACCACTTTGTGAAGGAGGTTCGACTGAGAGTCCATGATTCACTCAAAATCACCCAGTGAACGTCATGACTGTGTGAGGACTAGAGCCCAGATCTCCCGAGTCTCAGATCAGCATTCTTAATCATGACACCACATTGGATCTACCAAAGTGCTTTATGCCTAGGAATATTGGGCAGTCTCCACCTGGCACTGAAAAGACAAAACTGTTGGCTACAGGAGACTCGCAGAGAGGAGCTCATTCCATTATGGGGGCCCACCACTGAGAAAGCTTCCTCATTGCCACCTTCCAACCCCCACTTAGAAGTGGCATGCCGAGGGATAGGGATCCTAGTATTAGCGTAGG